GGCCGGAGCAGCGAAGCCGCCGAGTCCCCGCGCCACGCCGCCTCGCTCGGACCCAGCTTTGGCCCGCAGCGGGTTCGCTGCCGGGACGCGGCGGGAGCAGGGCCCGGGACGGTGCGTCTGGCCTCGCCCGCGGCTCCTCGCCCAGACAAGTTTGAACAATGATCACAGTCAACCCCGATGGGAAGATAATGGTCAGAAGATGCCTGGTCACCCTGAGACCGTTTCGGTAAAGTTCTCTCTCGGTTGGCGCGGGGAGGTCTTTTTCTCCGAGGGGGCGCCGGGTAGGGGTGGGCGAGGTCGTTCCTGAGAGGGTGCATGTCCCAGTGGCAGAGGGGGCGGTTCGTGCTTCAACCCCTGTGGTGGCCAGTGGGGCTGTGAAAGGGATGGAGCCGAGGTTCGGGTTCGGGTGGGGAGGGGTGGGCAATCTGAGACGTGTCTCGAGTTGGTCTAGGTTGGAGAGGACTCGGGATGCGAGGGTGGGAATGGGGGCAGAAAGCACCCAGGTTGTGGTCCTGGGCCTCGCCCCGGGCGCCCCTTTCCTGCCCTTTGGGGTCCTTCCCACTTTGCAGACGGCCCCACCCGGTGGCGAAGTTAGTGCGCTGTGCAGGGCGGCACCCCCATCTAGCGTGAGCCTCGAGCCCTGGGTTGAGTCCTCCACCTGTGCCACCCCTTTGCCCCCGCCTTCTGCTCGCACTCCCCTTCTCACTGCGGGGTGTGGGCCTGTCTCCATTGGGAAGGTCCTCGAGATTGGAGCAAGGACCACTCCCAGCCCTTCTGCTGGGAATTCGACCCTGGATTGCTGGCCATGGAGGGTTGGCGGCAGGGGCGGCGCTGTGGAGCTCCAGGGCAGCGGAGCCGGGACCTCCGGGAACCTCTGGAGGCAGGACGGAGGCGAAGATCGATCCCCCCCACCCCAATCTCGGACGACCAAGGCTAGGCAGGGCTGGGGCCACGCGGGGCTGGCTGGTCTCTGTTGAACCCATCCTAGGGGCCCCAGAGCCGGGTAGGGCCAGCGCAGCTCTCTCCTCTCCCTGGAGCCTGCGGAGCTGGCCTGCGGTCTGGGTCAAGGAGGAGATGCTAAGTGATGGGTGCCCAGCGGGGTGGGAGAGCCACCTTGCCCAGGGAGACTGGGCAGCAGAGGGCACCTAGGGAGGGATGGGGGGTTGCACTCCCCACAGGGCCACGGGGGTGGGTGTGGGTGTGGGTGCGGTCCACTCTGCTGGGGCAGGAAGTGGGCAGGCAGAGGCGCCGGAGGTTTGGGCTGCGGGAGGGGCGGGTTTTGATCCCCCGCCCCTGCCAGGCCCCCGCTGGTCTCCCTCTCAGCCCCTGGCGGGGAGACCGTGGCTCAGGTGTCTCCGGCCTCCCCAGCACCTCCTGGGTGGGCCGGGCCTGTTGTGTGGAGCTGAGGAGACAGCTTTCGTGAGGGCAGGGGTCATGATGGACCACCACCATCTGGATCATGTGGGAGGGGAGGATCGTAGAGCTGGCGGTGCTGAGGGTAGGGCCTTGGGCAGGGGACAGGGAGGTGGCTGGAGCCCCAAAAGAGCCCTGACAGAAGGTTCCCACGGAAGCAGGGCAGGAAGTGGGCATCTCTGGAAAGGGCCTTACTCCTCCAGGGAAATTCTCCAATCCCCGGCTGACGCTGACCATTTACAGGGTCCTCTTCCCGAGTCTGCCACCCCATGTTGACCCCGCCTTCCACGTCATGGGAGGGCCAGCCAACTGGGTGTCCAGCTTTGACTGGACATTTTCTGGTGCAATTGGAGGCAGCCGCGGGAGCCAGCACCACGGACAGCGCCCGCTCCCCAGAGCTCCTTCCCTCTGGGGTCCTGACTCTTCCAGGCTCTTATCTGAAAGCAGGATTCAGAGGGGGGATTGCCTAGGTTCCCCTCCCCTCGAGTTGTGTGTCTTCACCTAGTGTCTCCCTAGGCTGCCCAGAGACCCACAGCCACCAGTGGAGTCTTTGTATCCCCTTCAGATGGAGGGGGGCTGGCCTCCCACCACATCACCTCTACTTGTTAGTTTTTAAGGGCAGACTGGGGGCCCTGTTCCCCCTGTTTTCCCTCTGGCAGGAACCTTATTCTGTAGTTGCTCCTGGAATGTAGCTTGAATAGATAACATGGGTGGACGAAACCATTTTAACTTGAATCTACTGTAAATGGCCCTAGGATTGAGGTCCAGCAGAGAGAGATGCAGATGAAGTGTATTGGGGACTCCAGATTCTGGGCTAAAAGTTTAGACCCCTTTTTCATAGCAGATGTTTGGACCCTGCAGCCCAGGTCCCTAGCTCTAAATACAGTCCCCATAGCTGTGGAGAGGGTTTGGGGAAGTGAGGGACAATAAACTTGAGGAATCCGTCCTTGTCCTCAGGCTGGGAGGACGAATAGTTGATTCCCTCAGGATCTTCCTGGGTGTGCAACCACCGACCTCCTCCTCCGTTTCTCTGGCTACTGTGCTGAGAGCAGCCTGGCTTCATCTTGGGATCCCAGGGCCTCATCCCCAAGTGTGGTGGAATTCAGTGAGGGAGTCCTTGGGAGGGAGCAGTGTCTCTTACGCTGTCTCACCTGTCCTCCCTGTCCTCTCCCGGGGGAAGCCCTCAATGCTTTCTCTGCTTTGGGGGTTCTGCACCCTCTCTGATTTAATCTCTAACAGCTTCATTTAAATATGGGGTGGGAATTTTGTTGTGCTTTTATTTTCTTCTGCAATTGTGTGTTTTCTTTAATGGGCCAAGTTTTAATTAAATACTGCTCTGCCAGCTTCAAATAATGAAGATTAAAATGCATAAAGCAGGTCTTGCCTGGAGATACAAATGAATGTGGGGTTGAGGGTGGCGGGTGGAGGTGAGAGGGCTGGAGGCCTCTAGCGTGATTTGTGGGGGCTCCCTGTGGTGCGCCTGGCTCCACATGAGATGGGGTTCCTCATCCTGACCAGGGTGGGAGACTCCCCTTTCAGCTCCGCCAGGTTTGCAAGTCCTCTGATACATTCAAGGTCCCAGAACAACTGCCACCTCTGGCCTTCCCCACGTTGGTTAGCTCAGTTCTCCGGTTTGGGACCCAGCACCTGGTGAGGAAGCAGCAGGAGCCTGGGGTTCCCTGCTGTCCCCCTGGGGCTACCCCAGTGCCCGGCACCTGGGAAATACTCAACTGTGTGTTGAAGGAATGAACAAGAGTCCTGTTTTGCCCAGCTCTCCTGATCCGTGCCCCGGATGACCCCCCATGCACTGGTGTCCACTCACTCTGCCCAGTCCAGTGCGGACAACTCCTATGTGTCTGCCTGGTAGAGATGTGGGTTAGGGAGACTCTGGGCCCTGCCCTTGTAGATCTTACCCTCTGGTAGGGGTGGGGGCATACGCCACCCCCTCGAACATGATAAGGAGTTGTTCAAGCCAGCGCTGTGGCAAGACCTGTGTGCACAGCGCTGAGCTGGGCCCAGGTGAATGATGGGATCCAGGTGGGTTTCGTCTGGACCAGTTACTTGCCCTCTGGCTGGCATCAGTGCCTGCTGTTTCCATTTATACCAGTGGTTCTCAAACTTTAGCATGTATCAGGATTGCCTGGAGAGCTTGTTAAAACACGTTGCTTGCACCACCCCCAGAGTGTCTGATTTGGTGAGCCTCGGACTGGAGCCCAAGATTTGCATTTCTAACAATCCCAAGGTGATGCCGGTGCTGCTGGTCTGGGGAGCACACATTGAGGACCTCCGCTAATGAGCCAGGCTCTATCTGGAGGCTGGAACTTGCCCCAGCTATGCCTGTATCATTGGCCCTTGGGGTTTTGTGTGAGCCTCATGGCCAGCTCCTTGTAGTCGAGCTCTCTTTATTCCAGGCTCAGCCCTGGATCTTTTGTTCCTCCATCCATCTGTTCCATACTCACTCCCTCACCCACTCATTTGTACAGAGCCTTTGCTGGATAGGGGTGCATTCCACTGACCTGTTTCTGACCTGCCCTGTTGCTCTCTGCAGGCTCTTTGTCCTGGGCATCGGCTTCTTCTCACTCTGCTTCCTGATGACGTCTCTGGGAGGCCAGTTCTCTGCCCGGCGCCCGGGGGACTCCCCCTTCACCATCCGCACAGAAGGTATCTTGGTGGGGAAAGGGGAGTCAGAAATGGGTGCAGGTGTTTGTGGGTTGAGGAGAAGGAGGCCCTTGAACCTAGCAACTCAAGGGACTCCCTGAGGCTCTGTCCCAGGGATCCAGGCCACCACATCTATGGACGTGGGAATGGAGAGGGGTCTTGGCTCAGGCTATGTGATCCCGCACGCTGTTTTGGCTTTGGTTCCAGCTGTGATCATCGGGCTTCTTCTGGCCCAGACTCTCCGGCCAGGGATGGGCCTTTGAGTTAGGGCTTCCCAGGCATCAGAAGAGGCTGCTTGAGTTGCTTCTTTAGTGTGTTTGTGGAGGGGAGTGTTTCTGAATGACACTTGTCCCTTTGAGACTCACATACTCTGTGCTTTTGACACAGGCAATGGCCACAGCCGAGGGGGTGGGGGTGGGAGAGGCAGAGGGCGGCCTGGCCATGGGCTCACGTGTCTTATCCTTGAGCTCTTGGGACACAGTTCAGACCTTTGTGGCTCCTTGTGAGGCGGTGGAACAGGGGTTCAGAGCACAGGCTTTGGGGACCAGATGGACCTGGTTTGTACCCTGTTTCATTATCTACAAGTTGTGTGCCATTGGCCAAGTCACTGAACTCACACAGGGAAGGAAAGGGGTGGGATTGAATGAGCTCACGTCGTGGGTGTGTGATGGGGTCCAGACCTGGGAGACCTCCTGAAGATGGGCCCTCCTCCCTTCTCTTTCTACTCAGTGAAGAATGGCAAACAGTGCAGAGTCCTGCCTAGTGGGTCACGGGGGCTCTTCTGGTCACCGTGGGAAGGAGGGACACAGGGTGGTGGGGTAGCTGGGGCAAATAGGGTTTCTGGAACTCTTCAGCAGGCTGGCTTGGTGGGCTCTCCCCTGCTACTCTGGGGACGTCTCTGGTTGAAGTCCACTTTCTCAAACGCCCAAGACCCAGCTGGCTTCCCTGTTCCCAATGGCAAATATACCCTCAAGGAGCATGGGCTGTCATCTAGGGTGGGTGCTCTAAGGGGCACTTGTTATGCCATCTGGCATCTCATCATTAGATCCATTCCTTAGGTTTAACATGTACTTATTTAAACTTGCAAAGCTCCTGGCAGAAATTTCACATTTATTAGTCATTCAAGCCTGAATGTAAATTAACGTATCCCCCTCTGACTCGCAGAGTTGCGTCAGTCTCTCTGAGCTCCAGTTTTCTCCTCTGATAAATGGGGACGATACCTGTGTGCCCAGGATTGTCGTGAGTCGTGTTAAGATAACACATATGAAGGGGCTTGAGCAGCATCTGGCAAGTAGTACAAGCTCCATCAATATTTATTGGATGTGTTCAGTTTGAGATGGGGACACTGCAGAAAAGGTTGTTTAGGGAAAAGGGCCGAGGAGATGCTGGGATTTCTGCATAGGAGATGGGCGTGAATTGAGGCTGAAAGCGGGTGGGGGGGCGGTTGTGAAGGCACACTTGAGGGGCAGCTTGGGGAGGGGTACTGGAGGTCACGGGTGCGGGGGTGGATGATGGGGGACATGGAGTGTGAGGAGATGGGGTGTAAGGAGCGATGCTCAAGCCACTTCTGGAGAGGGGGCATATCCCCCTGGGTGGCTGCTACAGGGGGCTTGAGGAAGCTGGACCTCCAGAAAGGTCAAGGATCCAAGAGATGGGAATTGGGGGCTGGGGGAGGAGAGGTGTATGGCTAGGCTCTGGTTCTTCTGCTCATCTCCCTGGCAGGGGATGGGGCCAGTGCCCCAAAGTACAAGGGGCTTGTGCGAGCCCTGCCGAGCCGTGCACTGTGCAGTTTTGCCTGGTAGAGGAGGTAGGAGTCCCAACTCCAACCAGATCTATGTCTCGGGTGGGCAGAGCCCTGGAGGGGAGAGGACTTCCCCAGGGTCACGCAGTTAGATTAGAGGCGTGCGCTCCATTGGAGCTTACGCTGTTTTGCAGAATATCCACAAACTGAATGCGTCATGCAACCAGCAACCTAGACCAAGAAACAGAGCGTGATCAGCCCCCAGAGGTGCCCTCATGGCTCCTCCCACTCATTACTTCCCCAGGGATGTCAGGACCCTGACTTCTCACAGCACAGAGCTTTGCCTGTTTTTCAGACTTTATGAACATGGAATCACATAGTGGCTTTTCTTTTGTGTGTGCCGTTTTTTCCCCTCTCGTTATTACATTTGTGAGAGTCATCCGAGTCGTGCTGTGTGGTTGTAGACATTTGTCTCTACTGCTGTTGTGTGAATTCCATTGTGTGAATGCACCGCGTGATGTTTACCCACTCGACTGGTGGTGGACATTTGGTGTTTCCAGTCTGGGGCTGTGTGGCTATGCTGCTGGGAACATTCTGGTACCTGTCTTCTGGTGGACACACACAGGCATTTATGTTGCGTACGCAGAAGAGTGAAGTGGTCGGGTCTCTGGTCTGTTGTGACATCCATTCTCGGAGCCAGTTCAGCCACCCAAAGCCTTTTCGCATTTCCCGGTCCCTGGGCTGGAAGCTAAGTGCCTAGAATGTGGAACTGAAGGTGGGGAGGGGGAGACGGACAGGAAGGGAGGCCTGAGACTTCCAGAGAACTGACCCTGACTCGGTCCACATCCCAGTTCTCTTTGTCCCCCCTGGTTTCTTTCACGCTCTTGGATTAAGTTGATTTTTTTGGAGAGACCCAAAGCAGGGACTTGGAAGAGCCCCAAGTTTACATTGTGGGTTTAACAGCCTGATCCTGCAAAACAGGCCTCCTCCAAAGACACCCCCACACTGTGCCTGGAGCAGCCCTGCAGGAGACCTAGGAGGGGCCAGCATTTCTGCCTGGGAGTCACCTCAGCGAAGGACTAGGGCTGGAAGGGGGGCAGGTGGAAGGGACTTGGGGAGGGAGACTGGAGGTCATGGGTGGGGGTTGGGTTGTTGCATTGCTTTAGTTCCCCCGTGTCTATGCAGCCCCAGGGCAGAATCAGGAGAAGGAAACTCAGGAAGGCACTGCCATTTAGGAAAACAAAACAGAACAAGATCCTTGCATTGGTCAACAAAACCATCTGAGCACAAATGGGGGAAACAGTCTGTCGTGTCCTGGCCTGTCAAGCCTGTGAGGGAAGTGGGTCCCCCCAGGACGAGGCTGGGTGGGGAGAAGAAGGGTGTTCTCTAAAAGGAGGAGGGCCCTACTAGAGCCTCTGTGGACTGTGGTCTCCCGGAGGAGGCTCTGGATTCCCCCCGAGGCCAGTTTATATTTTGTGATAAAGTTCTCTAATTTGGGGATAAAAATGTGACAGACATCTCTTTCTATATTCTGCACACTCGTCTTAAGATTCAGGAGGGGGAAGGAGGCTGACAGGAAGCATGACTCGGAGAAGTCTAACCTTACTCCCTCTTGCGGCAGGTGGGCCTGACTTGGGCCTTGGGGGAGGGTTTTCTCTCCCAGATGGGGAGGGGTTTTTGCTTGCCCCCTCACCAGACCCCAGTCCCTCCTCCCTGCCTCCTGGCTCCACTTCCCCTCTCTTGTCCTAAGGAGGAACTTGCTTCCCTCTTAGGGACAGGGGGTGGGATGTGAAGTTGTGTGAGGCCTCTCTCCTGATGTTGCTGCAGGTTCCCTGAGCCCGTGTGCCCGGCTGTTACCGGCTCTCTATCTTGTCTGGAAGGAGTAGAGGTCAGAGGCTATCTCTGGGGAGAGGCCTGCAGGCGGGAGGGCCTGGGTTCAGCTGCACGTGGCTGCCCTGAGGTTACCCTGGGGCCTGGCCCTGCCAGACCTTCCAGCCCCCCAGCCTGGATTTGAACCTGGGGAATATCAGAAAAATATTTCCTTGCTCCGTGGCTGGCTCTGGCCTTGGACCTCGGTGCTAGGGATCTCTTCCCCTCAGAGGCTGGTGATGGATGGGTGGGCCAAGACCCAGGGCCTGTCCTTGTCTCCTCTGCTGCCCCGGGCCCCGAGCCCCAGTGGCCTCAGAGGGCTTCTGTTGTGGCTGTGTGCAGACGGACAAATGTGCTCATTTCTCCAGCTGGGCAAACACTAAGTCACAGCCCCTGTCTCAAGGGCCAGGGAGGTCTCTTTTATCTGGCGAGGTGGGGGCTCCTCCAGTTTCTAGGAACCAGCAAGAAAGGGCTGGGGTGGGGACAAGAAAGGAGGACAAGGCAGGGGACAAGGGAAGATTGGAGAGACAGACAGACAAGCATGTCCCTGTCTGGAGGGGAGGAGAGCTGAGGGGAGGGGAGGGGAGAGGCCTGGGTGGGTAATAAAGCACCTCTGTCTCTAACTGTGAGGAGCCATCTCTATCTCCTGGCACCCCGGCTTTCCTTACTTATATGGAAATATGGAGGGAATGCTTGTGAGTCCTGAGATGTGTCGCTGGGGCTTCACATTAAATACACTTCAATTTAGCCGACACCGGGAGCGGTGAGGTGGCTCAGGGCAAGCCATGGCGAGCTTGCTCCGCTGACAGTCGGGGGGTGGGCAGTGGCCGCAGGGAGCGTGTCCTGTGTGTCCTGCGGGAAGCTCCCCGGGCGGGCAGCTTCCAGTCTGTGTCATCTGCAGACAGCAGGGGCCGCCCTGAGCCCTGAGGACTGGGGAGGGTCTTGTGGTCTTGGTCCAGTCTGATGGAGGTGTCCTTACAGACCCATCTGAGAGGGACAGTGTATCTCCTTAGCCGCATCCCTAAGCCCTTGGGTCTTCTGGGGTCATTCTTTCTGTTGACATTTTCTTTTCTTTTTTTTTTTTAAAGATTTTATTTATTTATTTGGCAGAGAGAGACATAGCGAGAGAGGGAACACAAGCAGGGGGAGTGGGAGAGGGAGAAGCAGGCTTCCCGCTGAGCAGGGAGCCTGATGCAGGGCTCGATCCCGGGACCCTGGGATCATGACCTGAGCCGAAGGCAGACGCTTTAATGACTGAGCCACCCAGGCGCCCCTGTTGACATTTTCAAAGAATTGGCTTAATCCCTCCTATGAGGGGCTATCCAGAGCCCCACATATCTTTAAGGATCTCTGGGGGGCTTATGTGCCCCTGGCCACCTCTTGCTCTGAGCTCCTGCTTCTGTGAATTATCCTGCTCAGTTTCTCCCCTCCTGCGTCCTCTTTGTCCCTGACATTGACCTAGTGGGAAGGGTACCCTTTCCCCCAATTCCTGGCACAGAGTGGGGATGATGGCATGGGGGCTGGGACCACTGCTCAGCACAGCAAGCAGATGACAGTTCTCTCTTGCATCCCTGCAGCTGGAGACCCCCCACCCCCATCCCGCATGGCCGCTTTGGCTGCCCCGCCGCCCTGGCCCTGACCCCCTGTGCCTTGTTCTCTCTCCTCCTCTCCCAGATTGAACCAGGAATCTCCAGTCTTCCGACTTGAATATGCAGAGTCATTTCGCTTTCTTTTTGTCTCACTGCTCTGGGCATCTAGACTCCTAGACTCTGCTCTGGCCCACCCAGGGTTTAGTAAAACACAACTGAGCTCTCTCCCTAAGGGGATTCTGCCAGCTTTTATAGGAAAAGTTCTTTCCTCTCCTGTTACCCTAATCTCGAGAGAGGCAGTTGGGGCAAGAGCCAAAACAGGAGAGAACCTCAGGGTTCAGTAAATCCAATGCCCTCATTTTGTAGGAGGAGAAACTGAGGCCCAGAGAAGGGAAGTGGCATGTCCATCCATCCTGCAGCCATGCAGCTGGTGACAGCAGGTGGAGTGCAGGCTTTGTCACTCCCACCCCAGCCTGTCCCCTGCCATGGTGTTGCCCCAGCTTTGCCTGGTTTCTGGGGTCCTGCAGCTCTCGGCCAGGTGGGGCAGTCATTGGCCCCAGCAGCTATTTTGCCACCTGTGTGTGGGGCTGGAAGTGTGTGTGTGGGGGGGCTGTTGTCAGTGAGGTTCCAGGGAGGGGCTCAGGCAGTGAGGAGGAACCAAGGAAGCTCAAGATGAGCTCAGACAGAGGGACAGCAGTGTGACAGGGCAGGGTGCCAGGCCTCAGACATCTCGGGGAGCATAGCACTGCTCTAGAAGCAGTGATATGGGCTCAGCATTCCCGGGGTGCCGCATCTGCAGGAGTGAGCTGCTGCCCAGGCTCTGTGGTCCAGCTGGGCCTGGGTACTCTGGCCAGGTCATGGCTGGGGGGCCTTGGTTAATAGGCTCTGACTTAGGGTGTCCCCAATTGTGGTCTCACTCTCCTTTTTCATGCCATGCCTTTGGGGAAGGGACCACCCCAGCCTTAGCTGTGAGCATTGGCTCATCAGGGCTTCCCAGGGAGGCTGGGCAGGCTGTGCACTGCACAATTCCAGGAGTGGTACCCAGTAGTGGCCAGGTTGGATCATCTGATGTTCCTCTATTTTTCTAGCTGAGGTGATGCGCCCCCCCCCCACCTTTGTTTTACTCTGTGCTCCAAGCACTAGTTGAAAGCCAGATATTAACGTTTGGATGGATGATGGGCTTGGGTGGGGGTCTCAGGGATGAGAATGATTTGAAAGACTAACCTTCACCCCCAACTTTGTGGAGTTGAAAGAGAGAGGGAGCTATTCATATCTTCTTGGATTGATTGACTAACTGGTTGACTACTGAGGGAGCGGGGTGGGGCAGCACGGTGGGAGAAACTTGTTCACTTAACACAGTGGTGAAATTTTCCCATCTCAACTGGTTTGTTAAAAATCCACCCAGTTTTCTGAGAAGGGAAAGTGGGAAGACTGCTAGTTATTTCAGCTACTGGTGTGGAGATGGGGTAGAGATGGTGTTTCCTTCCTTCCTCTAGATGTGCATTTTTCACCAACACCTGACCCCACCCTTTCTCATTCTTGGACAACTGTGTGTGTGTGTGTGTGTGTGTGTGTGTGTGTGTGTGTGTGTTGCAGCCAGGGATCCTAGCTTTTGTAAGGAAACTGCAGATCCCCCCGAAGCTCCGGATTCCATGGCCTGTGAGGGAACCCTCCCCGGCTCCTGGTGGCCTCCCTTCTGACCTCAGGTGGACTCAGTCAGCAGGGGAACCGAGCCAGGAGGTGACTTAGTCAATGAAAGAAAGTGGCAGTGGCCACTGAGCCAGCTCAGGCCCAGAGCCAGGAGTCTGGGAGACAAGCAAAGCAGAAATGTCACAAGCAGCCTTGGTGACATGAAGCCTGTCTTGGCCCCCCTCTTCAGCTCAGTGCTAAGCGTGGAGCAGGGGAGACCAGCCCCTCGGGCTCCTCTCTTCTCCCCACCTCTGCCCCTGGGTCCCTGTGGCCTGCCATGCTCCCCTCTGCCCCTGGCTGGCATGGTGACAATGGTCGGCAGACAGGACCTGGTATTGTTGACTTGAGTTGGGGACCCAGAGGCTGATAGTGTTGCCATGACTGTCCCTGGGCCACAGAGTCCCATTGAGGGGGGGTGACAGAGGCAGGCGAGAGCCTCTCTTAGCTCACCGGGCCCCGGCCCTTTCTTTCTGGAGAAGCGTATGCTGCTGGTGCCCGAGCCCTTGGCCCCCGCGATTGCCATGCACACGGCCAACTTGCGGCTGCTGGCGATGGTGGTTCCTTGTCGAGGGCTTCTTCGCCACTGCAGCTGGCTGGCCACCCCACGGCAGGTGGGAAGCAGCAGGAGTTGGCTGTCTCCGGGAGCCACCCTCAAGCAGTGACCGGCAGGAGACGGTGTGCACATGGCCCTCGCCCCCAGGGGGAGAACTCTGGGGCAGACTCAGCACCTGCTGGTTGCCCCAGTTTGGTGACTCGCCCTCTCTGGGCCCCCTCCCCCTCCTGTGTCACCTCCTCAGTCCCTCACCGGGGCTTCCTTTACCTCTCAAATTCGTGACTTGCCCTCAAACCCTTGTCTCGGGGTTTGCTTCTGGGGAACCCAACCTCAGGCCCTCCCGCCCCTGGAAGCCCCTGGAAGCATTCAGATCTCCATGACTTGGTTCATTTGCTGTGAGAGGTTCAGAGGTGGCCCTTGGGGGGATGCAGGGAGCCAAGTTGGGGATTGCAGTGCCTGGACCCGAGTATCTGTGGACCGTTTGGAGGGACTGTTAAAACCTTCACAGGAGGGTGCCTGGGTGGCTCATTTGGTTAAGCATCTGCCTTCAGCTCAGGTCATGATCCCAGGGTGCTGGAATCGAGCCCCATGTGGGGCTCCCTACTCAGCGGAGAGTCTGCTTCTCCCTCTATCCCTCCCCCTGCTCATGCTCTCTCTCTCTCTCTCGCAAAAATAAATAAATAAAATCTTAAAAAAAAGAAAAAAAACCCTTCACATGATTTGATTGAAAAGAAAGGCAGGGACCACTCTCCCACCCTGGTGTGTGTGGCCCCAATGATCAGGAATGACTAGAAAGGAAATCATGGGGAATCTCGGCTGGTTAATGGGATCTTGGTTGAAGCCCCTTGTTTTCATTTAATTTTATTCTTCACAAGGTCTCCCTTGCCCCTCAGCCCAGGAGTTGATCTTTGGGAACCCGAAGGCCAGCTGAGAGTCTGGACAAATTCACAATGGTTTTCTACTGGGGGGGTCTGGGAGAGTGGAGTGGGGAAGGGGTCTGGTGGGCCCAGAGGCTGGCAGGAGAATAACAGGGTCGTGAGCCCCTTGAACATGGGGTCACAGCCTCTTCTGTGCATGCACACCACGTGAGGGCCAAGCAGAGTGCAGGGTCCTGGGCCCCGGGCCCTAGAGATGGGAATCGGCAGATCGAGACTAGGGCCTGAGAATCTGGATTTTAACAGTCTGGCCAGGAGACTCAGGTGCAGAGTGGTTGGGTGAGTGCACTTTTGGAAGCCCTGATCCAGAAGTCCTGTCTGGACCCCGGTGCTGGGGGCCCTGGGGTTCCTACCCCCCACCCCCGCCCTTCCCTGTCTTCTCACAGACTTGAGATCAGGTCTAAAGCTCCATTTTGCAGGCGATGAAACAGAGGCCCAGAGACGTTAAGATGATCTCAGTGTCACCCAGCTGGTAGGGAGCAGGGTTGGCCCAGGGCTCTGTACCCCAACACAGCAAAGTGGGGGATTCCCTGTCCTGCAGGGGTGAGGGGTGGGGTGGGCTCATTCTCCCGACCCCTCCTTTGCCTGGGAAAGTGGGAGTGGGGCTGGAGTCTGAGAGCCACCAGGTGGCTGCGGCCGAGGCTGACTGTGCCCACACTCTGCCTGCAGTGCTGGGAGGGCCGGAGTCCCGCGGCGTCCTGCGCAAGATGAGTGATCTGCTGGAGCTGATGGTGAAGCGCATGGACACTCTGGCCCGACTGGAGAATGGCAGTGAGCTGCACCGGGCTGCTGGGGACCAGCACTTTGCTGTGGACAGGTAAGGGGTACAGGGAGGGGAGGGGGACTCGGGGGGGCACCACGCCGTGTGCTGGGCAGCCTCAAAATGCACTCCAGAGCTGGGGGGGGCACTATTGGTCAGCCCCCTTTTTGCTAACCCGGCAAACACTTTTAAGAGTACAGAAGCCACACAGTAATACAACCAGAGCATGTTTCCACCGCCGTACTTAACAGCTGTTAACATTTTGTCATGTTGGTGGCCCGACGTCCTTTTTTCCTTTTTAATAAAAATCACAGACAAAAGCTGGAGGGCCCTTTCCCTGCTTCCCCGTGGAGATAAGTGCCTTCCTGAGTTAGGTGTCCATTCTTCCAGTCTGCAGTAACCGTTGGCATACACACACACCATAAACACACAGTGTGGGGTGTTTATGGGCCGTATGTGAGTGGTATCCCACAGTGCATTTCCTGCACCTGCCTTTTCCACTCGACACGACAGTTTTAAGCTCTGTCCACTTTGACAGTCACGTGTGGGATGTGCATCTGGATGGGATGGCCCAGCGGTTGTCTGTCCGCTACCGATGGGCTTGGGCCATTTTTGCCAAAAAGAATTTCTTGGTTTATTCATTCAAAATATTCCCCTACCGAGTCTTGAATGTCCAAAGATCTCCGAGAGTGGCCCCTGGAGTCCATGGTGTGAAACCAAATCATGTGTCTTAGGTGTGTGAGTGATCTGGAACCCCGGAGAAGGAGGACGTGTGAAGTCAGGGCCATCCCAATGGGGAGTCTTGGCCCTAGGCTCGGCTGTGGAGGGAGGGGCTTGCCGCCCACCCACCCCAGGGAGATGAGCTCCACATGACCTCTTTTCAGTATTGGGGATCTTTGTGAGGTGGATTTATTCCATGTGTTCTAACTGCTAAAAAGTAAGTTTGAAACCCACACTTTACACGATTTAGGAAAAGCTATACCTTGGCCGGTGTGACTTGCTAAAAGTGTTCTACTGAAAAATATAGTTGAAATCCACACTTCTAGACAATTTGTAGGAAAGCTGTAGCTCAGCCAATATGTGTGATGGAAAAGCCAAGGCTCCAGGCATTTCCTGTTTGGAGTTTGGCAGAGTCAAGTTTAAAGTGTTGGTGGCCAGTCCTGGTCATGGTGGGACCCTGCTGGCCTGAGGAAGGGGGTGTGTGTGACGGACCCCTCCTTTGGACTGGCGGGGGGTGGTCCTTTGCCCCGGAGCCTGTCTAGGCTGGGCTGCTGGCCGTGGCTCCCATCTCACACTGGCCCTCCTGATCGAATGTCCTGGAGGCCCAGTCGGGTCACCGGATGTCGGCGTGACTACCGTCACACGAGGTGGCACTTCGCAGAAGCTCACCGAGGGCCCGGCATCATCCTTACTCTGTTATCTCAATGGTCTTGTCAGTCCTACCCCCGCTTTATGGGTGCTTCCATCTCTGCCACATCGAGGAGGGAACTGAGGCCCAGAGAAGTTCAGGAACTCACCCAAAGTTGCGCAGCTGCTAAGGGGCTGGGCCTGGCTCTGCACCTAGGCCGGCCAACTCCAGAGCCCATGTTTCTAACCACTGCGCTCTTGGTAGCCATTCACTAAACATGTGGCTGTGTGTGGGTTAGTTTTTATTCCTTCGCAAGACTTCTCCGATCAATGAATTCACAGCTCAGGGGGAAAATACCCTTCATTAGCTCCTTGCCTTGATTTTCTTGGATTGGAAAATGGAGGCACTGAAATGGCGGTCGTGGAGCCTGGGATGACACGTGATGATAGTGTCAAGAGCCTCTCCCAGTGCTTGGCTCCTGAGTGGGTTGCGTGGCCGTGCGCTGGGTGGATGCTCTCTCACCATCCCAGGATGAGTATCTGACAGAGCAAACTAAACCGATCCACTCATGAAATACGTCTTGGGCTTACTTAGTGCCAGGCATGGCCAGTGGTATTGGGGGCCCAGCAATGAGCCTTGTCCTCACTCCTGTGGAGAAGACGGGCAGTAACCGACAAAGAGAAATAAGTGAAACAAGGTCAGATACTGAGGCCTGCCCTGGAGGGTTAGGGGCAGGTGCCGAGGAAGGAACTAGTCACACAGGGCGGTCTAGGAAGCCCTTTCTGAGCTGGTGATATTTAAGCTCCATTCTGAATAATGGGAGGGAGCCAGCCACACAAGGAGCTGGGAGTAGAGAATTTGAAGTAGAGCGAGCAACAAGTGCAAAGGCCCTGGGGTAGGAGTAAGCTTGGTATGTTGGAGGAAAAGAGCCACTGTGAAAGCCAACATGGCAGAGTGGGGTGAGGGACAGGAGAGGCCAACAGGGCAGGTGATATAGGCTTTGTCAGCAGTGGCGAGTACTTGGGACACTATTCTGAGAGGTGTGGGAGTTTGCCAGAGGGCTTACAACCAGGGAGTGATAGGATCTGGCTTCTTTTTTAAAAAGATAGCTCCAACTGCTGTGTGAAGAAGGGAAGCAGGGGGGCTGGTGGCAGAAATGGGGAGAGGGAGGTAGAAGGATTGGGCTCCCCTGGGGTTCCCTCTGGGGCATGAGGTCATTTTCTCCTCTGTGTGCAGAGTCCATCTTCCTCTCTGCTGTCTGTGTCCCTCTAATCCAGCCCCTCACCCTCATAGCATCCTTTGCCCTCTCCTGCCTGCCCCCAGCGTGCTGCCACCTCTCTGGGCTGCTGACCCAGCCTCTAACCACAGGCCTGCTCACCAGGGTGAGGGCAGAACACTGGCCCACTCTCCCTCCACGGAGCATCCTGCTGTGGGCGGCAGAGCTGAGGGTCAGGTGGCCTGCCTTTTTGGGTGGGGGGAGCTGCTGTTAGCTCGTTCAACTGCCTCTCTGGTTTCTTCCAGTCCTGGCCTCTCCCTCCCTCCCCTGCCCTGCCCTGCCCTTCATCTCCTTCGGAGGGGAGTCCGTGCCACCTCCTAGCTCCATCCCGGGAAATAGCAACAATCCATCAAGACCAGCAGAGCCCATCAAACCCCATAGGCAAAGCCATAAATTTCAGGGACATTGTTGCTTCTGGTTTCAGGGAGAGAAATGGTGGGTGTGTCCAGGGCACGTTGGGGCGGTGCTGCTCGCTCACACCTCACCTGTGTGCAGACACTCCAGCCCCTGCCCCATCTTAACCCCCTGGAATGACCTACCCGGGCTAGGCAGGTGGGAGTCCTGCAGATGTGCGTGCTGCTGTGTTTCCAGCAAACTCTGTTCACCTGCACTTGGATTCCTCACTTCGAAATGATCCGTGGCCTAAATAACCCCCACAGTCCTCCCCCCTGCCTTGCTGGAAGCTTCTGGACTGTTGCCTCCTGCCCATGGTTGGTATGTCCTCGGGGAAAGCGAATTTGCTTTTTTAGCCTCGGAAAACCTAATTAGGGGTTATTTGCAGATTTTCAGCAAATGGCATCATATTATGTATCCTAAAGCCAAACAGTAATGATCTCTGAATTTCCCATAAGGCTCTCTGTAGCAGCAAAAACGACCAGCGTTTCAGGCTGTTTTCATTGGAATCAAGTATGAGTCCGTAACTGCTGGGCGTGTCCGTGTGTGGAGTCCGGGCCAGGGTTTCTGGAGCCCTGTTCTCAGAGGGACCCTGCTGGGGAGGGGCAGCCGGCACCTGGCTGTGTGCACGGCGAGAGGGTCGGGACAGCAGGGCTGTGTTGGAGTGTCTGTTGCGCACTGCAGCGAGGGGCAGACTCGGGTGGCCGGCAGCAGGTCATGTGACTTCTCTGAGCCCCACTGTCCTCACCTGCCAGTGAGAGATAGCACTGAGGAGAGGGGAGACCCTGCCTCCCCCGCTGGCCCCCCGCTCCGCCCCAGCCCTTCCGCCCCAGGCCATGCCAGTCTTATCACTTCCATTGCCCGGACCCCCAACCTTGGAGTCAGCCTCGACCCTTCTGTCTCTCGCTTGTATCCCGTTCATCAGTAAATTGTCCCCACCTGCAGAATGTGCCCGGAATCCCACCTCTCCCCACTGCCCTCCTCCCACTGAATCCCACTGAGCAGCCAGAGAGATTATTTTAAAATACCAATTTGGTCAGGAGCCTCCCGTGTTCCCCACCTCCCCCATAGCTCCCCATCAAACCCCAGCCTCCCCCATAGCTCCCCAAATGCGCCCAGCCCTGTTGTCTCTCTGGCCCCTCCCCTGCTATCCTCCCACTTGCTCCCCGGCCTTCAGCCCACCAGCCTCCTCACTGTTCCTGCAGTACAGTGGTCTCCCTCTGGCCACGGGGCCTTTGCACAGGCTGTGGCCTCTGCCTGGGAAGATCTTTCCTCCGATCTGGCCGGGTGAAAGAATCCGTTTTCTTCCTCCCATGGTTTTCTCCCTCCCCTTCCTCCAGTTTTTCTCAAATGTCACCAACAAGTCCTTCCCAGAGGACCTATTTCAAATTGTACCCCCTCTCCCAGATTCCCCATCCCTTTCGTTCATCACCACTTCACCCTGTGTATTTTCACGATTTGCTTGTTCACTGTCTGTCTCCCGAGCTGGACCAGATGCTCTGTGAGGGCGGCGGAGATTTTGGCCCGCCTCACTTCTGGGTCCCAGAGTTCAATAAGGACTTGTTGGAGGAAGGAAGGGAAGAGAGGCAGTGTGCGTGCCCTTGGGCACTCCGGGGGGTTGTGCCTGCGCCACCGTGCACAGCAGGACAGCGAGACAGAAACCAGGTGCGTTCTGGCCACCGCCGCCCCGGACGAGTTCCTGTTCTGGAAGCTGAGGAGGTCGGCCCACCTGGGAGTCCTGGTTTCTGCCGCGTGGCTTGTAATGACCTGGTCATTTCATGCTGGGCATCTGTCTTAGGAAAAGAATCTTAACTTAGAAACAGGTTTATGAACATCTTGGTCATTGATGCCTTTTTTGTAGTGTCAACAAATTTCAGCCACGGGGCACCTGGCTGGCTCTGTCGGTGGAGCGTGCGACTCTTGATCTTGGGGCTGTGAGTTCAAGCCCCGTGTTGGGTGTAGAAATGACTTAAAATCTTTAAAAACCCCACAAATTTGGAGCAACAATTTAAATGTCCAGCAGCGAGGAAACAGCACGCAGACC